CATTCTTCTTAGGAAAAAAATAAACAGAGACAAAATCATCTTCAATCTCCCATATCTTAACATTTTCTTCTCCTAGAGTTTTCGATTATGAGATTACACCATATAATTGAAAAATTGTGGTGACGATCAAGTAAATAAGCAGAGAGAAAGAGAGATCGAGATCGTCAGCAAAAGCCGCCGCCATATTTTGACCCTTAACCGTCGCCGCCTCCCGCCTAACCGTCCGCCAGGTATTGCAGCACCGGAGATGTCGTCGATCAATCAGACTGATGAAATAGAGGACATTATGGCTTGCGTAACGGCTTTGGAAGCTGCTCTGTTGCCATGTTTACCCGCTGGAGAGCTTCAAGTCATCGACGGCTCTTGTCATCCTTTATAGAGATCTGATGATTTGTGGATTGGTAAACGCAAATTGCGTATACTTTGATGACTTTTCTACATTCATTGACAGGCTATATATAGAGATACTTGATGTCAAGGTTAGGTGTGATTGCGAATCTAGAGAAAATTGGTAAGCAAGCATAAAATCTCCGAAATATCAACTACATTAAGTAATACAAATGATTTACTATTTAGATAAGGAATATGCTACTAATAAGGAGTGTTAGTGTAGTAATTATTTATTATATCCTTTATTTTCTCGATCTCTATAGCTAGCAAATGGAGAAAATCTTGATTGAATTTAGATTACATGTATTTTGATTAGAATTAAAATAAAAGATTTAGTATTTAGATAAGGAATATGCTACTAAGAAAGAATGTTAGTGTACTTATTAGTTTCTATGCCCAATATTTTCAAGATCACGTTCGCTATTAGGAATATTTTTGAGGGAGTTCAGTTGGGATTCACAACTAATAATCGAGATTTACAAACTAATTAATGTCAATTTTGATTTAATGTTGTAAGAGGAAATTTCGGAAATATCCGAAATTGAAACCGGGTCACTCGTTTTTTTAAAAAAACCCACCCAACCAATGGTATTCTTTGTAAATACATTCCAACTCCAGGATTTATTTGCTAAAAGTCATCCAAAAATGTATATATAGATGAATGATTTCAAAAAACTCAGCAATTATTTTCTTAAAAATTAGTAGTCTATTATATCCATAGGAAAATTGAACATTACTTCTTCAATAAACAAAATTTAATTATGTATTTACATATAAATTATTTCTTTTATTGGATAAAGATGTGGAATTTTGTTGATGAAGATGTGACTAAAGAAAAGTCCCACAAAGCTCCTTGTTTAGGACCAAAAAAAAAAACAGAGTTGTGTAAGTGGAAGTTTTCCTTATTTTTTTTAATAAACTAGGGCGAATCCGGGCTACGCCCAGATATATTTGATATTTGATACTTTAAAGTTTGTTAATTAAATGATTTGTTTTAATTTCTTTAGTATAGATAGTGAAAAATCTTATGATGTTGTATTTAACATTTTGTAGAGAAAACATATGATAGTATTAATCGTTTCATGATGAAGGCAGATTCGTCATTCCTTTTGGGCTCATCCAAGCATAGAGACAGCTTTTTTAAGGACTCACATGTGATTGGCCTTTCTATCTCAAACATACATTGAGATATGTTAAGAAACACGGATGCGTGGACAAAATCATAAAACTCTTTTTTTTTTTTTTTTTTTTGTCAATCAATCATAAAACTCTTAACTATGTCCTATTCCAAAGAATCCTCAAGTTCCTGCGAGCACAGGTGATCAGTGGAAGAAACGCAGGTTAAGGGATATGATGACAGTTTCACCAATTGCATTATATATAGCACAAGAAACTTTCTACCAAATATATAGCAAAGCTCCATTCATTAGGAGGAATATGAGCAAACACCAATCCACAAGACATGATAAAGGTCTGGAATATGCAAAAGTAGTAGCACACCATCATTACCTGCCCCCAGAATGACAGATAGTAACCTTATGGTTTTCTCTTTCGGAACGTGGACCATCTCTAAGAACAGGACAGCATCCATTAGGCACAAATAGCATTGCTAGGAACACCAGCAAAAACATAATGTCAAGCATACTTAACAGTTTCTATATCGGCCTCTACGAGGTTATCATCGAGTAGGATTACAGCCCATGTCAATCAATCGGAAGAGGTAAGAGGAAGGAAGGAAAACTACAGATTGAAAGAAAAGAAAGAAAAAAAACCATCAATTTTATTGACAGACTAAATTGTTATTGATAGAAACAATACAAGAGCTTATTTCAGTCATAAAAAGGAAGAGATTTTTTGATCAGATTCTCAAGTGTTGCAAGCGATCCTCTACTTCCGCTTCATCAGCTTTAGCTTTGGCTGCAGCTTTGGCTTTCTTTTTCTTTGCTCGGCGTTTGGCTGCAAGTTCCTCAATCCTCTTCATCCCAGTTTTGAACATCATCTTCACCAAAAGCTCAGGTTGGCCTCTCACAAAATACTCATGTCCAAATTCCCATTGCTCTGACCCCTTAATTCTTCTAAAGCCCTGTCAACAACAACAAAAACAAGATGAGAGACGATTCCAAACTCGGAGATATAATCTTTGCATATATATACATATATAAAACTCACATAAAACTTGAGTTCGGTCATGAACTTCAAGTAATGTTTGCCAAATTCTATCGATTTCGGCAGAACCTCTCGGTGAAGCCCTTCCAGATTCCAAACGATGAAGCTATTGTTGCTCTTGCTCCACGAGATAATTGGATCCAATGATGGATCATCCACGACTTTGTATATCGTCTTGTAGAATGAACACAACATCACTTCAAATCAGAAATCGTGTAATTTGCACAAACGAATATCGTCGACCCCAGCCCTAATTATTCAGCTTTATTTATAGATGACGAACACATGCAATTGACGGTCACGATATGATCAAATTGTTTTCAGCGGTCAAGATTGAAATAACAACGTCGGTTTCACATGATTGCCATTTTTTATTTTTTGTCACGCAAGTTTCCTTTTTTTTTTTTTTTTTTTTTTTTTTTTTTTTTTTTTGTATCTTGTATTCACTATCACCCTCCTATTATTTACCTTCTTTCGTTTCTGTACCCATTCTTTCACGTACTCTAACTCTTCTGTGCTGTTAATTATTTTTATTTTTACTTTTATCAGAGGACTTAACAGGAATCCTCTACTTGACCAAATTTAAACTTACTCGTCCCTTCACCAAGTTTCTTTGGGCTCCTATTGGGCTTTTTCTTACTTGGTTTCTAGTTTATTTCTCTTCTATTTATTTATTTTTGATATATATATATATATATATATATATATATATATGTTTTTATTTATAAACAATTACAAATTCTGGAATTGAAATCATGTTTTATAAAATAAAATAAAAAATCCCCTCAAATCTAAATTAGTAAACCCGAATAAATAGGTTGGATAAAAGAAAAAATTATGGGCAAGAAAGATAAAAATTTCCCTAGAAATGTAAAGGCAATAAAGAGAAGTATTAAATTGTTTGAAAGCAACTAGATACAGTATAAATAGTCATTATCGACAATGTCATCAAGATCATGTGACATGTTGAGTCCTTCACTCTCTTTAGGTCAACCTCTCTCCATTCTCTCTAGTCCTCTTTGTTTTTGTTCTTGTTTTACCCATGGTAACTCGGCCGCCCGCTTCCAAAGACTTCTGAGGCTGCAGAAGATAGCTTCACGGCCTTTCCGGTAAAAGCAGGAGATGACCTAGCCATTGTCGAGGCGGCCATTGCTGTTAGAGTGTGCTACAAGTAAGGGGTTTTAGTTGTTGTGAGTTAGGCTATGGTGAAGTTTTCGAGTATATTTTATTTGTAAATGAGAAAACGAATGGTGGTAACTGGTAAGTTAACACGGGCATGAGATTTTATTTGCTTTATCTCCGGATATCGTTAATGTCTTGATTTCTATTGGTTGTTGACATTTTTGAAATAATTCTTTTTATTTTATTTTTGTTTCGCCTAGCTGGCACGTGCCGGTCCGGTATTAGAGTTGGAAAAAACACGCTACTCTCGGTAGCGTCTCATCCTATTGGTTATATCCAATGAAGGTCTGCCACGTGTAAATCTGGCATATTTATTATCCGTTTGATCATATGCTAATTATAGATAGAACGAGTGTATGATAATAAACGCTTAATTATGCGTTTGGTGCGAGTTGATACAACAAAAAGCTGGAAAAAAAATAAAGTAAGTATTAATTAGAATTTGCTTAACACTGAATTTGAGTAAGAAGAGAGCGCCAAAGAACTTACTAAAACAGTTAAACAGCGTTTAGGCAGCCTTAGAGAGTGGAAAAAAAATAAATAAAATAAAACAAAATAAAAATCAAAAGAGAGATTACCGTAGTACTTAGCGTGCTCGGGAATCTTTGGAAAATCATCATTTCAAAGCACTTTTCTCCAGAGAAATCCAAAATTAGTTCTGAAATTAGCGCACGAAAAAATGCCCTTGTTTATGCCTGACGAAGAGCTGGCGCGGCTAGCTAGCGACGGCGCGTCGGTGGTTCCGGAGAGAGCCGACGAGTACAAACGGAAGATGTACGCCGAGTTGGATAGTGTTCGTGCTAAGGCTGACGCTGCTTCCATCACGGCGGAGCAGACGTGTTCGCTTCTCGAGCAGAGATACCTCTCGCTCAATGACGAATTTTCTTCGCTTGAATCTCAGAACGCACAACTACAGTCCGATTTCGATAATCGACTCTCTATACTCGCTGAGTCTCAGGCGGAGACGCACCAGCTTCAATTGCGATTGGTAAGTCCTAGTGCTTTTGTGTGTGATTTTTAGCGTGTTTTTGGTTGGAACTAACGGAATTTCCGGTTAGATCGAGAGTGCCGGAGAGGCAGAGAGGCTGAGGACGGATGTATCGGAGCTGCGGAAGTCCAAGGTGCAGTTGACGGAGCTGTTGCAGCAGAAAGACAACGAGATTTCCGAGATTAAATCGACTATCAAAACCTATTCTGAGAAGATTGTGAGCGAGACATTCCCGATTGTTAGTAATAGTGCGGCGTGACTCAGTTGTTTCAACCGTGTAACCCTAATATCTTGTTCAATTTCTCAGGTTAAGCTGACGGACACTTGTTCGGAAAAGGGGGCCCTAATAGCTGAAGCCAGAGCAGAATTGGCACGTTCTCAAGCTATGTGCCGTCGTTTTTCTCAGGTCACGCTATTGATTTGAATTTTTAGATTTTAATGTTTGATTGCGTTTATGTTTGATAGTGGCTTGCTTTTGCATTCTGAGTTCTTGTATATACTGTGCTTAGTTTTATAATATAGTTTAATCCTTTTACAATGTTTATGACATATGGTTTCTGATGGAATCAGGAGAAAGAACTCTCGGAAAGGCATGCCAAATGGCTAGATGAGGAGTTGACAGCCAAAGTCGACAGTTACGCTGAACTCCGTAGAAGGCACGCTGATCTCGAAGCTGAAATGTCAGCAAATCTTGTTGATGTAAGCCCGATATTCTAGTTTATTCTAACGCTCCGCTCTGTGTTCTTTTACTAAAAAGGCACCTCTGTTACTTCATTGTCCTCATTCTTTCCTCTATCAGGTGGAGACAAAATTTAATGAGTGCTCTAGTTCCTTGATTTGGCACAAAGAAAGCCTGAGAGAGCTCGAAACAAAAGCCTCCTTGTTACAGGAGGTATGCATGGCGTATAACACTTATCTCCTCATGTCTTACCATATAAAGCTCTTATGAGATTTACTTGTTTTCCTTCGTTTTTCCAAAGGACCTCAGCTCGTGCAAAGTTGCAGCAACGACCAGTCAAGAGCAATACAATGCTGAACTCTTCACCGTGAGTTCTTAAAAATACTAATGATTTCATCTTTTAAAGATACCAATGACACCATTGAACCTCTTTTCATATTTTAGCGTTTCATAAATATTATTGTGGCATTTCATAGTTTCAGAAATAGACCTTCATAGGTGTTGTCTTTCCAATCTAACCCGCAAGCTGTCATATAGGCGAACAAGCTTGTTGAGCTGCACAAGGAAAGGTCGGAGGAATGGTCTATGAAAGCTGCCGAACTTGGTGGTGTTATTAAGGCCTTAGAGGTAAGCTTTCCCTCACAGATCAGAGGACTCAATTCCAACTTTTGCCTTACCATGTTCCCCTATTTATGTTTAAAATTATGGCTAATCAGGCACGCTTGAGCCAAGTCGAGAATGGTTACCAACATAGACTTGACAAAGAATATTCTACGAAACAGCTGTTACAGAAGGTAGTGTGACCCTTGATTTTTTCTTTTGCGCTATCGGTTACTGTTGCTTGCCTCTGGTAACTTCGTTGGCGGTATCCTTTTGCAACATATACTGAGAATGTTGTGTGTAGACCCAATTTTGCTAGCATGGTACTCAACCTGATAACTAGATATGAATACTTTGATATTCTTTGCTTGTTTCCTAAAATCTATATGTTTATTCGGCTTTAAAATTTTCTGTACTCTCAAGATTTCATCTTTTCCTTTCTTTCTGGAGAATTTCTATCTTTGATATTTTGGGAACTGTTATCGGCGCATGGTTTACCTTTTGGATCTACATGGTCTTTTCTTTTTTGCATTTTCAATTATATCTTCTAGTGAGATAGTTAATTTTTGTTTTCTGCAACAACAGGAGAACGAAGACCTTAAACAGAAACTTGAGAAGTGTGAAGCAGAAATCAAGAAAACTAGGAAAACAGACGAGCTAAATCTGATACCTCTCAGCAGTTTCACAAGGTATGGCTCAGCTTTATGAGAACATGAGCCCCACATAATGCATTTTGTTTTTAATTTTTTGTATAATGGCCACTCAGATTTGCTACATTTGCTTATCAAATTGAGCAAATAATGAGTAAAAGTGGGGATAAGTGATTTTGGTTTCTTCAAGAGATCCAGTTTACGTACAGATTTTATTGGTTGCAACCTACATTGATCATCTCATACCAAAATGTAGGTCTCTTGGAAAAAGAAACAGCAGTCACTAAGTTTTGTTAATTCCTAGCTGTTGCTAGAAGTAACACAGTTTAAGGTTTCTATAGGGGTTTACAGTGAAGTGATTTTGGAAGAATATTTGTTCCGTTGAAGTAGAATCTAGTCGTACTCAGATATTGTAATATCTTGATTGTCCTTGTGTGCCCGGAACAGATAAAATTCTCACATTTTCTTTTCAAATACCTTTGGTCCAGACGGGTTGACGATTCTGGGACCAACAACATGATAGAGGAAGACCAAGCAGTAATTCCTAAGGTTCCTGCTGGTGTGTCTGCAACTGCACTTGCAGCTTCACTCTTACGTGATGGATGGAGCGTGAGTTTTAGTCTTAGTATATTAGTCCAGTTTATCAGCGTCTCAACTCTGTTGGTGGTGTATATATCCTTTTTTCTTGTTTTGTAGCTGGCCAAAGTTTATGAGAAGTATCAAGAGGCTGTTGATGCCTTGAGGCATGAGCAATTAGGTCGACAGGAAGCTGAGTCGATACTACAACGGGTATGAATGCACAATTTGACCTTCTGAGTTTATATGTTAAATCTTATCTACTTTTGTTTTCTCTATTTTTTATTTTTTTTCTATATTGAACTAGTATTTTCTCCAACAGTAGTTCACTATTCACTTAAGCATAACATTTTTCTTATCCTGCTAACTTATGTAAGATTCTTGGGCTTGATGGTTGAATGCCTGATGGAAACATCAAAGCTTTCCTGGTTCTCGTTAGAGCTATGTGTCTGTATTTGATCTTTAAACTGGAATTTCGGCCTTGAAAATCTTGCTTTGTAGGTTTTGTCCGAAATTGAACAGAAAGTGGGAGTCGTCGAAGAGGAAAGAGGTATAACCCAATTCTGTGCTCCCAAAGATTTCTTTCATCTGTGCAGAAAAATTAATTTTATCTTGCCGGAAACATCATCTTTAAACCTACATTTGGTGCAATATGGTTTCGTTCCAGGTGAATATGCTCGGATGGTTGAAAGTTATTCTCAACTCGATAAAAGACTGCAGGATTCTGTATATGAACGATCAAATTTGGAGAAGTACATCATGGAGCTAAAGGTACTTGGTATCATCATAGTGGTTGTATAAGATGCATATTTGTGTTGTTCTTATACATTTATTTGATTGATAGGCTGACTTGAAGAGGCAGGAACGTGAAAACAATTTATCTCAGAAAGATATATCTGACCTACAGAAGCAGGTAATTTGAAAATCTTTTCTCCTCTGTTCACCATATTATGACTTTATCTGCATGTTTGTTTTGGTCTTCAGTTTCTTGACTAAAACATGATTTGCAATGTTAATAGTTCAGTCTTCAGCTCACGGATATATGCCTAGTTGGCTGCCTAATCAGTTGATACTTTGTGTGTGTATACACGATTTAGGTTACGATACTACTGAAGGAGTGTCGTGACGTCCAACTTCGTTGTGGAGCTGCCAGGGATGATGAAGAAGATGACCCTCATCATCTTGATGCAGAGATGGATATGGAATCTGAAGCTGATCAAATCATCCCGGAGCATCTTGTAAGTTTGTTTCGTTTTCCCAACGTCATGTTTTGTGTTAGATTTTACTTTTAAAATATATTGTGGCTGACTAATGCGTGTCCTCTTATTGGGATGAATTTCAGTTAAAGTTCAAAGACATAAATGGACTAGTTGAGCAGAATGCTAAGCTCAGGAATCTTGTTCGTAGCCTCTCAGAGCAGATTGAAAGTAGCGAAATGGAGCTGACGGTATGGAGAAATTTTTCTGCATACTTTTTGCTTTGGGAGAGTGTGAAATGTTAAAACAGTTTTTGGAATCTCAGGAACAGTTTGAGAAAAAAACTGAGGAAGCTTCTTCCAAGGTAGCTATTATTCTAAAAAGAGCTGAAGAGCAGGACAAAATGATTGAATCACTGCATACATTCGTAAGTCTTTGCATCCTTCAAATCTCTTCTCCATTGCAACACTTGCTGAATTGATGTTGGATCTTAATTCAGTGATTTATCCTGTACGTTTTGTCCTTTTCAGGTTGCAATGTATGAACAATTATATGAAGGGGAGCAGAAACTTCATTCATCTCATTCTCGTTCTTCAGATTTGCCTCCAGGTTCTAGCTCTAATCTATGCGCCAATATGAATTTAGTGACTATGTTTTCTTGCATACCCTCAACCATCGACTTCATCGGTCGACTCAATTTTATTATATGAGGTTTCAATTTTATCTTTGCATTATAATACTTTCCAAAATTTTACGCCAAATGTCTAGAAATCTTGATTACAGTCAGTGGAAATCACAAATTCGAACAAAAAAGTTGGCTCGTTATGGAAAATTTTCTGTCTTTCAAAAAACAAAATAGGTCTGGGAAGCATCTGGATTTTGAATAACTACCAATTTTTGAACTTATTTTCATATATCTCAATTCTCAGTAATGAAAATCAAGGCTGTAGGCCCAAATATAGAGTGAACTCTGGCTTTTTCAAGCAGATTTTGCTTTTCTGAAAATCTCATCTTGTTTCCTGAATAGTAAAGAAGCTTCACAGGCTGTTGCATGATTTGCTCATTAATTAGAATACATAGTTTTTTAGTGGTACACTAGCTTTAAATTGGCTTGACGAAGATGTATTCTGTTAGATGTAGTGCCAGGAAGGAAGAAATTTTTACATCAGATTGAGGATTCACAGGTATGCCACATTGCTAATCTTTCCTTCCTCTTCTTTCTTTTTCTCTCTTTTGGCGCATCAAGTAGTTGTTTGGGACTCACCTAGTTGACTGGATTACTTGTTTCAGGAAGCAACTAAAAGAGCGCAAGAGAAAGCTTTTGAACGAGTCCAATGTCTCGAAGAAGATTTAGAGAAGGCTAGGTATGTTTATCGTCCTCTTGGCTAATATGTTTCACTCGCTGGAAAATTTATTAATTTTCTGTGCAAGAAAGTTTGTATGGTCGATAAGGGTATTGCTGAATATGTAACATATGTTTTCTGGATCGATTATTCTAGCCTAGGAAATTAAAGTTGTGGAAAGTGTAGTTTCTCAAAAGCTTAGCAAGAAACGTGCCTGCACCTGCTGGTGGATTGTTGTTAATAGTGATTTGAGCGTATGCGTTTGCAATACCAGTGTAGTTATCCTGTGTAAGTTAAGTGAACTGTAATCTTACATATTAAGGAAACTACTTGAAAGCAGTCTGGATGGTATGCACAGATATAGCATATATAACCATGAAACTCAAACTGAAGCAAATAGATTCTGTCATTTTTTTTCCAGTAGATTTTGTGCTCTCTTTTAGCTTGTTATAGTTGTTAGCTGAAATCAGACTAATATCAACTGGGTTATTTTCATCTTTGTCCTTTGGATTTTAGGAGTGAGACAATTGCTATAAGGTCTGAACGGGATAAATTGGACATGGAGGCAAATTTTGCTAGGGAAAAACTAGAGGGCATCATGAAAGAATCTGAACGCAAGGTGAACTTTGTCACAAATTCATATTATCAACAGCTTGTGTGGATTTTGCTTCCTTCAAAGTTTTCATTCTATTATGTCAGAGAGAAGAGATAGACAGAGTTTTGGCAAGAAACATAGAGTTCTCACAACTCAACGTCGACCACCAACGGAAGCTACGTGAGAGTTCCGAGTCTCTTCACTCTGCGGAAGAGATTTCTAGAAAATTATCTATGGAGGTAGTATATCAATCACACTCGTCAAGCTAATGATATCTATGCTTCTAAACTAATAGTCATCGGGTGCTATAGGTCTCGGTTCTAAAACAAGAAAAAGAGGTGTTATCAAATGCTGAAAAAAGAGCTTCTGATGAAGTTTCTGCTCTATCTCAGAGAGTTTATCGTCTTCAGGTTGAAAACATGACATTGTTCAAATTCTAAGTCTTGCATACTCTTTTTTCCTTTGGCTAACATGATTTTCTGCAGGCTACCTTGGACTCTGTACAGAGTACAGAGAAAGCTCGTGAGGTAAGGAACCACCTTTAATTTTTTAATTGTACAAAATCCTTATCTGAAAGGTTGTACGGATGATATAACTTTACCATCAAATTCTGTTGTCAGGAAGAAAGAGCTGCACAGAGAAGGAAAGAAGAGTTGCATGTCGAGCAACTTGAGGTGGATAGCATATTTAATAATTCTTTCATTGGGACATTCATTAACTTCCTTCTTAGACTATTATGTAGAAAAGTAAATGCGGGGAATACTACTTTGGGATTTTACAGAGAGAATGTGCTGAAGCTAAAAAAGAATTGCAAGAAGAAAGGAGCAATGTGCGGAATATTACTTCGGACCGCAATCAAACTTTTAAAATTGCTGCAACGCAGGTAAAAGATATGGGTAGTGATTTGGCTAATGCCTTGAAGGCTGTCTCGGCAGCAGAGTCCAGGGCTTCTGTGGCTGAGGTATTGTTTCAAGTCTATTTTACCAATCCCCTACTGCATTGAGGTGCTGCACATCCGGCAGTGTTTGTTATGGCCAGCTCCTAGGTTGCATACTCTAGCTTTCCCTGGTTGACGTTTCCTTAGATTGCTTTTTCTTTCTTTGTTTTGGTGGCTGCTTTTGAGTAGCAAGTTTTTGTATGTGGTTGATTTGTGCGAGTTCGTATTGCTACTTCTGAATAGGCCCATACCAATTTCTAGAATTTTCAGCTGTCTTCATCCATGCTTATATTGGCATATGATTATTACAATTGATTAATTCTGGAAATGTGTAAAAACAGGCTACAGTTTCTGTTTTGGAGAAGAATATAAGATTTTCAGGATCCTAAAGGTAGATGTTTAGCTTGTTCTAATAATTGAATTGTGGAAATACTTCGAACGGCAGAGTCCTGGGTGGAATTTGCAATCACTAATTTGTACTTTTGTAATAAATTTCATTTTCACACTGTTAGGCTCTTGATATGAACAATGCTGGAGTTGTCTCTCTTTCGGAAAACGAGGTCAGTGAAGTCCTTCAGATTCTTTTCTTGTGTTGCAAATTTATTTTCTGTTAATCCTTCTTTGCTGTGGTGGTTATTTACTCTAGATGTCCGAAGAACTGCGGACTGCAAAGGAAGAAATGGAAAAATTGAGAGGAGAGGTAGAGTCTAGCAGAAGCCACATGCTTCAGGTACAGACTGGATTGGCTTAGTTAGTTTTGATTTCATCGCCACAGGAACTGACATTGTGGACCTTCTTGCAGTACAAGAGTATAGCTCAGGTGAATGAAACTGCGCTAAAGCAGATGGATTCTGCCCATGAGAACTTCAGGCTTGAGGTATTGGCTATGCAGCTATGTTCAGTGTCATAAAACTAGATTATGCTGTAGTTTTAGAAAGAAGAAAAACCTGACGGCTTTTTATTTATAGGGTGAGAAGAAAGAAAGATTGATGGAAGCAGAGATTGTTTCTCTTAGGGAGAAGGTGTTAGAACTTCAGAACGAAATTGCAAGTCTGAGAGAAGAAAGCGTCGTTAAAATGTAAATCTTCTATTATGCATCTTTTCACCCGTGGACACGCACACATACATCTTTAAATTGATATGATGTGATTGCTTGCAGCTCCCAAATGGAAGCAATGAATACCCAAATGTCCACTTTGAAGAATAACCTGGAGAAGGAACATGAGAAATGGCGTGATGCTCAGAGACATTATGAAAGACAGGTTTGTTAAGGCTCTATATTATAAGAAACACTCTGGCTATCAGGCATATTCACGTTGTTGAATTGACTATAACGTTGGTTTTTATTGGATAATTCTAGAAACTGACATGATTTCATTACCTATTCCGTTGCTCCATTTCATGAAACAGTTATCTTCTGAAAACACTATTTTTGTCTTCTAACAACAATATGGGAGTATCTTTCTGCACTGAGTTTTACATTTTATGAAATGCTTGCTAGGTTCTTGATAACTTCATGTAATACCGTCATATTGATTCTGTTCTCCTTTGTTCCACAGACATTTCAAGGACCTCTCTCTTTTTGTTTTTCTACATTGTGAAACGCAGGTTATTCTGCAGTCTGAAACCATTCAAGAGCTGACGAATACATCACAAGCTTTGGCAGCTCTTCAAGAGGAGGCATCTGAACTACGTAAATTGGCTGCTGCAAGGGAAACGGAAAATGTAACTTCTACTCATACAAAACTTCCCGCAATTATTGCTGCTAAGATTGGCTAACGACGGATGAGAAACGTAAACTTTAGTGCTGATCCTGATACTTCATAAATTTTGTT